CCCCTCACCTCACCGCCAGGCTCCTGCCCCACCTCGCGCTCGCCGCCGCCGCCGCGCTCTCGCCCGGCGCGTTCGCCGGGCCCGCGTACGCCGCGCTCGCGGCCTGCGGCCTGGCGTTCGTGCTGGCTGTGGACGCCGCGAAGGCACGCAAGCTCTTCGGCCGGCACGGGCACGCCGCTGCCGCCGCTGCCGCCGCGCCGCGCGCGGGCGCCGCCAAGGCACGCGTGGAGTAGGTGGGGCGCGGCGGGCGGCGCGGCGGCGTTGCCCGCCGCGGGCCGCGGCGCTCGTGGGCCGCAGCAGGTTGTGAGGGGCTTGTGGCTCGCGGGTAGTTGGGAAGGATCGGACGCGTTGGGGTGAAGCCGCTGAGTCGAGTAGAAGCCACTGCATTGGGAGGTAGCCGCTGCGTGGGGAAGAGGCTGCTACGTTGGGAGAAGCCGCTGCACCCACGAGCGCAGAGTGGAGGTTGAACACCTCCAACCTGCGCCCGCCCGATGCATTTCACATAATGCCCAGGCAGCGACGCCACGAATATGCATGTGCTGAGCACCGGCCTCGGCTGTGCCCGGCCAGGCCCTTGGCCAGAGGCGACCAACTGCGAACCTTTCAGACGGGGGCGGCTGGCCCACACCGCCGGGCGGCAGACAGGCTGCCGCTGCACACAGCGCCGGGCTTTTTGGGACCAATCACTGCTTGCACTCAGCCTAGCAACAGGTGACATCAGCGCTGCCCTTGCGTCCTGGTCAGCGCGGGGTCCGGGTCACTTTGGATTACTCACTATCACGAAAAATATCTGTTGCCTGCGGCGCAAGCGCGCGGCCTGCTGCTCTATCCAGCTGCTGCATGCCGGCATTTCGGCGCGCCGCGACATTGAGCGCCAAAACGCGCACCCACTCACATACTGCGGCGCGCCATTGGCAGCCATACCACGCCCCTGTGCTCGCACACATGGGCACACTCTCAATTGCACGCACGGTCCGGCGAGCTTGCTCAAAGCGCGCTTTCTTTACACATCAACGCCAGGCGCACTGACACTAACTGCCGCAGCACAAACTTCTGTAAACTACATTCACCACGCCACTGCTGCTTCGCGCTCTGCGGGCCTCACGAGCACCCAGCCCAGGGGCTGGCCGCACTCCTCCCCGTCACACAGCCAAGCGGCGCGCACGCAGCAGGTACAAAAACAGCCACGCACTGTCGATGCTGCTGATGACCACCACCATGACTAAGCTGACTGCCAGCACCAGCCCCGCGCGCCGCAGCGCCTCTGGCAGCGGCGGGGACACAAATTGCGGCAGGACCTCGCCGCATGACGCGACGAAGCGGGCGGCGGCGACGAGGGCGGACGCGAGCCACAGGGGCACGGTGTTGGCAAACTTGGAGAGCCTGGGGGAGGGGGGCCGTCGAGGGGTATGTCGAGTCTCGAGGCGGCGCGACAGCCCTTTGCTGGGGCAGGCGCAGGCGTCAGCAGCGACAATCCAAGCACAAAATCGGTCCGCGTCGAAATCGCGCCCTGGGGCGGCATGGGTGCACGCCTTGTAACTCACCAGTTGCGTGACCCCAGCCGTCTCAATTGCTCGTCCGAAAGCCCAGCTGCTGTCATGCCCGGAGGCACAGATGCATCGTTCGGATCGCCGCTGCTGCCGTCGTCGCCGCTGTATGCCCGAGCCGCGGCCAAACGCGTGACCCTGACAGGAGCTGCCTGGAGATGTGTAAGAGAATGCAATTCTGTGCTGCCTGGCCCGCGCGCAGCCTTTTCTGATAGCTCCGGGTGATACCCACTGCCGCTGCTGTGCATCGATGCGGCGGTGTGCTGCGGCCGACGGTTGTCTCCCAAACAGCAGCAAGCGCGATCATGAATCCTAAGACCCGTTCCTCTTCGTATCAAAGACTGCATGGTTGAGCAAGGCGCTGGGTTGCTGTTGCTCAGTGAGCTCCGGTATACGTGATCTCCAGAGTGCGACCGCCTTTGCTCAATTTTTGCTGTTTATGATGTGACACTTCCCACAATGTATTTTTGACCGCCTATAGCGTGTGGCATTCCAGTGTAACCATGTGCGAGCACATTATAAGCGCGAGCAACTGCCTGGTGAATAAGCCTTCGCGCTTTGTCCATTTGTGGGAGCCTCCTCTACATCACCTGTCCTCCGTTTGGCCTTGCACCAGATGTATTCTTGCCAAATTTCTCTTGGAGCAGTCAATTACATGGGCCGAAATCGAGCCCAAGAAGGGATTGGCAAAGACCAACAGACATCCGGCACAGTGACGCGGGCCGGTCACTGCTTCTTGGCGGCCGCCAGCAGCTCCTTCCCAGGCCCCAGCTTGGGCTTGAGGCTGATCTCCCTGGTGATGTCCACGGGCTGCTGCGCCTCGTGGGGGTGGGCGGCGCCCTTGTACACCTTGAGGTGCAGGCGGATCTCGCGGCCGAGGCCGCCCTTGGGCAGCATGCCCTTCACCGCCTTCTCAATGATGCGCTCGGGGATGCGCTGCGCGGGGCGGCGCGGTGTTGGAGGGGGCAGAAAGCGTCAGCGCAGCACTGGGTGGCGTGCCGGGCTTGGAAGTGTTTGCACCGGCGCAGCCGGGGGAGTGCCGAGCATGCTGTTCCAGGCACGCCTCATGGCCCGAGCTCTCGCAAGGTCGACCGTCGGTTCCAGGCAGGACGCACGCGCCGACCGGGACACGCCAACCGCCCACCTGCTGCAGCTGGTTGAAAGTCTCGATGCTCCAGCTGCCGGGCCGGCCGTTCACGTGACGGAAGTAGGTCTTGTCCGACGCCTTGTTGCCGGTCACGGTCACCTGGATGGAAAAACAAATGCAGCGAGGGCCGCAGAGCAGAGCAGAGCGTTGGACTGAGGTCAGTGCGCAGCGGTGGGCGCGGCAGCGTGCAAACCATAGCTGGGCGGCGTGCAGGTCAGCCTGCCGCCCAGCGGGGAAACACGCCGTGTGCCTTTGACGCCCGCCCAGCTCTGCATGCTCAATAGCAAGCCGTTTGCCAGCAGTGTTTTGCATCATGCCGACACGCTTGGGGCTGCACCCTGCTGCTGCCGCCTGTTCAATGATTCGCGCACAAGACGCTGCATTGGCCAGCCACAACCGTACACCCACGAATGCTGTGCGTGCTGTCCCAGTGCACCGCCAGGTTGCCACACCTCTAGATCACAGCGGCACTCTCTCCCCCAACAGACTCCTCGCCACAGGGCGAGCCCTCGCAACATTAAGGCTGCCTTTACTTCAGGCCGCCCCCTGCTACCCAGTCTTCCATTGCGCACCCCCGCCCCCACTGCTCAGCCGCAGCCCCCCACCTTCTCGGCGTTGATGACGATGACAAAAGCGCCCATGTCCATGGAGGGCGAGTAGGTCGGCAGGTGCTTGCCCCTGATGTAGGTCGCCGCCAGCGTCGCCAGGCGGCCCAGGGTCTTGCCCTGTACAGGCGCGGTTGGCACGTCGGGTCAGGGCGGGGTCATCTGGCGCGCTCGGGCGACGCTGCGCTTCGGCTGCGACGGGCTCAGGGGGAGCGTTCGAAGGCCCCAAGAGCGCCGCATCGGCAGCGCAGCGCAGCTGCGCACCTCCGCGTCGATGATGTACCACCGCTTGTTGGCGTTGGCCGTGTCGGCGCCAGTGGGGTAGTAAGACTTGTTCAGCAGGTCCCCCTTGAACGCGGGCGCGTCGGTCGCAGCGGCTGCAGGCGCGCGCAGGGGCCATCCCCGGGGAAGGGCGCGTTTCGGACACGAGCCAGGTGCGGGGTGCTGCGGAATGCGGCTGCATTGAGTCGCGGCTGCCACGCCGCTCAGTGCGGTGAATGCAACGCAGGGAGGCTGGACTTCATGGCGCAGTGTCCCAAGCGGCGGCAGTGGCGGCGCCGCCGCAGCAGCATGTGCGCGCCGCTGGCGGCCCGCTAGCGGTGCGCCGATTGCAAGCGTTCCAATCACATTCGTGCCGCATTCTCAGCCGCATATGGTGCCCTCATTCGCACCTTGGCACACCACCACAGGGACAACCCGCTTGGAGAGCTGCTGCACGCCCGCAACCCGGAGCTTGCCGGTCTGAAAGGCATTGCGGGGTGCGGCCACCCTTCTGTCCACTGCCGCAGAGCGCGCGAGCTGTGTCTGGTGCAGCATGGCTGCTGTGGCCTTGTCTGTGTGTGGCGCGACTGCGTTCTAGGGATGGCCCTCCTCGCGTCGCTTATCGCGTGACTCGATTCGACAATTGTACGCTATTGACGAGGCCGGCCAATGAGCGTCAGTGCGTCGAGCTGTAGAATGAGGTGGGCCGACCTCCGGCCTTCGGTCGTCTTTGGGGTCACAAACGAATCCCTTGGCCGTTGCAGACGGTGTTGTGTGCCGCATATATACTTTCCGCTATTCAAGCCGTCGCATCAGCTAGCAGCGGAGCAGAGCAGGCCACCACAGCAGCAATGGCGTCCCTGTGCGGCCACCGCGCGGGTGCGTTGGCGGCGATACAGCGCAAATAATGTTACTGGATCCCTTGAGGCGCATTCCTGAGTCTTGCTGCTCGCGTGCGTGCTCGACCGCAGGTGTGTTTGGCTCAGCGGTGAGGGGGGCTCCTCGTGTGGAGCGGGCGCGCCTTGTTATCAGGTGAGCGTAACAATGTTATTGTCGGAGGCAGCTGTGCAGCGGCCAATGGCCGGTGCAGCCAGTGCAAGGCGGCGCGACGCACCGCTGCCGCCGTCGCTGCGCGTGCGGTTGCCGGCAGAGGCACAGCCGCAGCACTATCGAAAGGCTTGGCACTGCAATTGTGGCAAATTCATGGCAACGCGAGCCTGTCTGGCATTGGCGGTCCATGTGTTGCCACCTGCAGCAGGTCACAGCCAGCACTAGTGGGCCGTGGGTCTCGGGTCTCCTCCTGCAGCAGCATGGGCCCAGGGCAGCATTTAAGCAACCTCCCAGGCCAGCCGCCCCTTTGGCAACTGCAGCCCCATCCGAGCAGTTCACAAAGCAGCAGACCCCCCTTTTGTCCAACTGTCATGGCACCTAGCACATCGGACCTGGCCCTCCCTGAGTAGTCACTCAGGCGCCCATAGCGGCCACGGCACAACCCCTCCACCGCTGAACACGACACCCCGATCAATCACAAACAAACCACAGCGCCTCCTTCAAGAACAAGGAGAACATCGACCTGGAGAAGGTGCCCGCCTACAAGCAGCACGACTCCGATTCAGGCAGCACCCAGGTCCAGATCGCGCGGCTGTCGGCCCGCATCACCCAGATCGGCGACCACATGAAGGCCAACCGCAAGGACTTCTCGTCCAAGCGGGGGCTGGAGGCCGTGCTGAGCCAGCGCAAGCGGCTGCTGCGCTACCTCTACCGGACTGACAGGTGGGCTGGTGGCTCGTGGGCGGTGCGCTTGCAGGCCCCTGGGAGTGGGTGTGACCGACATGGCTTGGTTGGGGAGGGCAGCGGGGGATCGGACGGAGAAGGCGGCCTTCGTGCAGCCGGTGGCACATTGCTACCACGCAAGGCCAAGCTGTGTGCTTCGCCCGGGCAAAAGGGTGCTGCTTAGTGCAGCAGTGGTACTAGCACTGCTGCGTCAGCGACTGCGTTGGCCCCCCGCCCTGGTGAGGCGGGGGGTCGCAACTACTGGTGCATCAGCTGTCCCTCTGCTGCCGGCGGGGCAGCCAAGGTATGTCAGGCTCTGACATCACTGCAGCAGGCTGCACGCAGTCTCTGACCCTGGCGCCGGGCGCGCGAAAACCCTCCCCCTTGCTAGGGCTGCGTATGACAAGCTCATCGGCGAGCTGGGCATCCGCTCCGTCATCGCGGGCGACAGCCACAAGGCCGCCCAGAGGGTCGCCGCCGCCGCCGCCGCCAAGTAGGCGTGCTCACACGTGTGCGTGGCAGCGGCAGCAGCAACCTCTCGCAGCGCCGGCGGCAGCAGCGGCAGCGGCGAGTCTGGGCGCCATTCACCCAGCGATTGCTGAGACCTTGTGCTGGATAATGGACCCCTCACCTCCTTTTCTCTGTAATTCTGGTCTAGCAAGTGCTCGTCTGGCCAATGATGGGAGCCTGGTTTTGTCGTCGGGCCAGTGAGGGACTTCGGTGGTACCGTCTTGTTGCAATGCTTGCATTGGAATCTAAGTGAAGTGCATAGATTGTCCAAAAACCGGGGCGAGCAAGCAAGGCGAAAGCATGTCGGCAAGGAGCAAGATGGCTGCATGGCCGTGGCTTTTTCAACCCGTCAACCAGCTGAGCCAGCGCCGCATTAATGCACATTGCCAGGTGGCCGCGCACTGTGCCCACGATCCATCACTAGAATGTGCAGTTGTGTGCTCGGCATGCCACGGAAGGTAGTTGACCAGACTGCAGTGAGCAACATGTGTATGAGGACCAACAGCCCGTCAGCAAGAGCGGGAAAGATGCGGTGAAGGCCTGGGCGCCAGACCCCTGCCTCAACATTCGATCAAAGCAAAGCATCGTCCGTGCATTTTGCGCCCTTGTCGAGGATGGTGGCTTTTGTCCCGCAGGTCTGCAGGGTGACGGGTTGCTCAGCAAAGCAGAGCAGGGTCCCTTGCGTTTGGCCGAGCAGCTGCAGGGGGTACATAATGAGCTGTTTCAATGCCATCACTGCAGTTGCAAAACGGCTCTATACCTAGGCCTGGCCAAAGCAGCAGGTGTGCAGATGCAGGAGAGACTATTTGCGGCGCAACACTTTGCCAGCAAACATTGACAATTACAGCCTGCAGTATATCGTGCATCTTGTTGTGTGCTTCCTGGCTTCGAAAATTCTCTAGAAGCTAACACATGTCAGCCAATGAAGGTGGCGCCAAGACCACCACAGGTGGCCGCTGCTGTGTGCTGCAACTGCAGCTGGCAATGCTACAAAGTCGACCCATGCACAGCCTGCGGGCCTACACGCGCTGGGGTTGCGTTACTTCCCCCTGATGTTGGTGAGACGTCAATCCCCACTTCCCTATCGTTTGTTGTGGCACAATGCCCAAACAACGCAAGGGTTATGGCCGAGCAGCCATGCATTTCCAGCCTGCAGTGCGTCAACGATTAGTGAAGAGTCAATGGGATGGGTTCAGCCTGAGGCCTGCACATTCACGCGCCTCGAGCGCTCGCAAGCATGCATGGCGCAAAGAAAATGTCCTCAAAACCACCTATTGTAGTAACTATTTAGCTGGAATCATACCTACAAGCTTGGCGCCTGACTGGACCGGACATGCTAGCAAGCAGGCACGCTGACCGGGTCTGCCTGGCCTGATCGCGATCGCGCGCCCCCTGATCTCTCATTGGCGCAGCCCCATATACCCTAGTGCGCATCGCATCCAGCGAAGTACGAACTCTCTCGCCAGGTACACACACGTTGCCACGCACTCCTGCCATTGGCCACTTCTGGCCACTGATCCGTGCCGTTGTGCATGACACCCATGGTGCTTCTCGACCTTTCGAGGCCTGCGGTCGTGCCATCCCGGCGAGGCAAGGTACGTCAGATCGTGCTCCGAGACCAATGCATCCCACTGCTCGGGCTTCACCATCCAACGGTACACCCATGTGTCATGTCATTTTAACCCTCGCAGGGCAAGTCAGTCTCAGTGCTAGCCAAGGCTGCATCACGTGCGGGCCAGTCGCAGGCCGCCCACGCACCCTGGAGCTCGTCGCCTCTGCCCCGCACCATCCGCACGCGCATGCTGGCACGCTCGATCAAGTGAGTTTCTAGGCTAGTTGCTGAGCTGCTGTCTGTGCATAGAGCATTCCGGGGCCCACCTGGACACTCGGCGTTGCCCTCTCACCCATTTCAACATGTGCTGTCCCCACGTGCCACCGCCACCACCCTGCGCGCCCATACCGCAGGCCCGCCCTCCAGAACAAGATGTCCTCCCGCCGGGACGTCTCCCAGTGGCTCAGCGGCGCCGCGCCGGCGCCCGGCCCCTCCGCCGCCGCCGGCCCCTCTGCGGCCTCGGCCCCGGCGGCGCCGCGCCGCGGCCACGCGGCCGCCGCGG